GAGAGATACCTATATACGACACGCCTTCCTCTATTTATATTGTGCTTTCAAGCTTCCGCTAATTTTCGTCCATTCTACTCTTTTAAATAATTTTATTTAATTAACTACGAATAATATGACTTACGAAAAATTAATAAAAAATGAATATTCCTTTCTTTCTTTTTTTTTAAAAAATTGGTGAAATGCTCAATTTGGATCAGTATATTTTATTTATAATTACGATCAAAATGTTAAATTCAGTGTTACGTAAATATAAATATTCGATTCTCGTTTTATTTGTATTTTTACTTTTCTCTTTGTATTTGAATTTATGGAAATTACGTAAATCTAAATATCGTATCTCAATTTTTCCTATGTTTCCCTTGTGCTCTGATTTAGTATGAATAGTATTAAAATATTCAATTGCGTATTACGTAAACCCAAATATTCGATTTTGGTTTATATTTATTTTATGTTCGAAATTGTCACGAATTTTATTAAAATATTAAGTTATATATTGCATAATTCTAAATATAATATTTTACTTTGATTTGTATTTCCTTTCTACTCAAATTTGTCGAGCATGTTATTGAAATATCAAATTGCCTCTTACGTAAATTTAAATATTCGAAATAACTACTGTCCCGAAAATAATAAATCGAAAACCAAGGATCACGTGGGATTCACGAGAAGTTTGTAATATTCTATAATTTATAAGGATTTTCAATTTCAGAAATAATCGGAAAACTTGTAAACGAGATTTGCTTGCTACTTATTTTTATATCGCGCAAAGAGAGGAGCAAGCCAATCGAATAACGGAATGGATGATAGCAAACGCTAAAAGCTACCAAACAGTTTTTACCTCCTCCAAAAATAGAGTTTCAACAGTCTGATACGACGAAGCTCTGGTATTTTACTTTCTTTTTACATGTAGGAAGCCAGTGTTGGCTGCTACCCTACCATACGACGACTCTATCCATTTTAGGCACCAGAGGAAGAGATACGAAAGTAGAAAATATTATTCCATTACTTTCTCGTTTCTTCAATTTTCAGAATATTCTAAATTATAGAATTTTACTTATCGCTTGGTTACAGATTATTCGACTTTGAACATTGAAAAGCTTCAAAATGGAAATTGAAATACTTATTATTAGCTGAAATTGTGAAATTTAAGTTTCGATAATTTTTGTGAAAGGAAATCTAAAGAGTCTAATCGAAATTTCGAGTAAAACTCAATATCTTCTATTGAGACTTGGAAAATATAATTTTTAACAAGTTCAGAATGAAACTCTCTATCTGAACCATCTCTCCCTAACTGAACCAGGAAAAATAACAATTTTAATAAGCTTCGTTCATATCTGAATAACGTTTAGTATTTCTAATTAAACCTCGAAAAATTAATTTTAAGTTTCATTTAAAAAAAAAACTCAATACTATTTACTGAGCTTTCAAAAATATCAATTTTGACAAATTTCGTTTCGATAAATAAATAAAATTCGATATTTCCTAGTGAGCGTTTAAAGACATAAATTGAAATAAATTTCGTCTCGAATAAAGCTTTGATAATATTTCCTATGAACCTTAAAACATCCCAATTTTCTTGTTTAGTCTATTCTTTTTGGAAAATATAGCATACTGTATTGTATAGATGCTATAACGGAGTGAGATTAGCTCGTATGCCGCGAGTAGTAGAGAAGGTAAACGAAGGAGACAAGTAGAAAAGGTAAATTACCTCGCCGCCAGGTAATCCGACGGAGACGACATCACCCTTGGTTGCCTTAATTTCACCAAGAACATAGCCTTCCTTCTCATCGGGTACCCAGCACGCCTTTTTCGCATCGTATGGTTTCGTCTGGTCGATTCTCTTCTGCTCAAGGGAGACGAAGAGGTACGGGGTTGGATCGGGATCGTCTCCTTCTTGTGGCTTCGGCTTCGGCATCTTTGATTAGTTTCTTCTTCACTTCAGATACCTTGATTACCTCTACTGTATTCTCCTCTCGCTCCCAGGAAGGTCTACGTGCCTTCTACGTCGTCGTTTTCCCACGTATCGCAGGGTGGGAAGAAACTTGCTAGTTACTTCGTTTCTTCGCTCTTAAAATTCGGCGGCGGACGGACTACTTCTGGCGGCACGTTCTGGGCGGCCCTATTTTACAAACAATCAACCCCGTTAGTTATTATTAGGCTGCTACCACGCGGATCGTTTCATCGCGGTTACCTATACGATATTAGCATTGTGGCCACTATGGGCAAGAAACGCGTGCTACGCCTCAGATATCTTATTTTTAATTCGGCTTTTTCGCTCATCCGTATTGGGGTCTTACAAGAAGAACAAATTTTAGGTTAACGAAAAATTTCTGAGATTTCTGGCTAAGAATAGAGAATATTTTTCTTAAATAAATGCAAGAAAAATATATCTCGTATTGTTAAAAATGACCAATTTTATTATTCCTTAAATTCATAAAAATATTTTCTGCATTTCGTAAACGAATAATTTTAGTAGTTAACGAAAAATTTCTGAGATTTCTGACTAAAAGTGGAGAATATTTTTCTTAAATAAATGTAAGAAAAATATATTCTGTGTTGTTAAAATGACCAATTTTATTATTCTTTAATATGATAAAAATATTTTCTGCATTCGTTTTAAAAAAAATATATTCTGAATTGTTAAAAATAACCAATCTTATTCTTCTTTAATATAATAGAAATGTTTTCTGCATTTTGTAAACGAATAACTTTAGTAGTTAACGAAAAATTTCTGTGATTTTTGGCTAAGAATAGAGAATATTTTTCTTAAATAGATGAAAGAAAAATATATTCCGTATTGTTAAATAATAACCAATTTTATTATTCTTTAATATGATAAAAATATTTTCTGCATTCCGTAAACGAATAATTTTAGTAGTTTTTTGGATAGACTTTAAAATGTGTTATGAAAATGAAAATTTATATAAAATTTCTAAATGAGAATGTAAATATTTGCAAAAATTTAGAATAATTGTCTTTGCTAATTTAGATCATTCAATTCGAAGGTTTGTTATTCTATCAAATAATTCTTAAATTGATCATTTATACCAGACACGGAAATGAAGTTTTTGTTCTTCTTGCAGTGCTATCTTTGCACTGTGTTATCGTAGTAAAAAATGAAGAGATTTTGTTGGCAAGTATAACGTTTAAAAGTGCAAAGATAACGAAGTTAGTAGATATAAAATCTTTCAAGTTATTTCGAATATTGTTTACTTCGAAGTCTCTTGATACGAACCTTTCAAGTCTAGAAAAATTTAAATTCCGTTATTAAATTTTGCAATTGTTGATTCGTATAAATAATTTAAAAATTCGAATAAAAATAATTAGTTATTTCAACGAAACGTTCAAGTTATTATAAATAAGGAATATTTAAAATATCGATCATTGTTACAATGTTTTAACTATATTCGAAAGCACTCGAAATTTCTGATTTTGTCTATGGTTAATAAAAATATAAATTATTATTCGAAGAATATTATTATATTCTTGAATGGTTTTCGTCGATTCTTCAAGCAATTCTTCATCAAACCCGTTTTAACAAACATAATGTTGAAGACAGTTGAAATATTAATTAATAAATTCCATTTTATATATAATACTGAATATATACATGTATACAGTTTGCCATTACATGCATATTGCATAACAATGTTATTCTTCGATAGCCAACAGGAAGGCAGGCAATAGAGAAGTGTTATGTAACAAAAGAGAGAAAAGAAGGTAGACTATACATATGTGTATATAATTTTTCACCCTTTTTATTCAATCATCTTTTATTCAGAGGTAAACGAAACGAAAAGACAGAATAAGAATGCCCATAATAATTCGAAACTTCGATGTCGAACCTCCTGATACGAGATAAGTCTGTACGTCTAAGAAAGAACACCTCGACGATAATAATCGAACTAAACGGGAAGCAATTGCATAATGAAACGCGTTAGATGTTGAAAATATCTCGGATGTAACGCGAAAACTAAAAATAAATCGAGAGAAATTGTTTCCAGTTTAGGAACTAGAGAAACCTGCATATACATCGTGCTAGGGATAATTCTGTTCATCTTCCTAGGAAGAAAAATCGCGAGGAGCTAGACGGGAAATATTTAAATAGAATAAAGCAACGAGGAAAAACGTCGGTTAAAAATAGGAAATCAATCGAGTCGTTGAAACAAGACACCGTATTTCCAACCCGTCCAAAAAAAGCAACATGCTTCTGGAACTGCACAACGGAAATAAGATGGCGCGCACTACACCTCAAAGTCCTCAACTTTCTTACGTATCACGTGTTCGGAAACCTTCGCGCACTTTTCAGAGCAGACTATATCTCTCTTAACTTTTTAAAAAAAAAAAAAAAAAAAAAAAAAAAAAAAAAAAAAAAATAAACAACCGAAAAGAGGAAAGAAAGAAATAGGTCATCGAAGAATATCCCTAGAAAGAAGTAATTCCTAGCTCTGGAGCGAGGATGAAAAGTGTCGCGAACGATTGGAAGTTAAATATTTTTCAATCGCTGAAGAAAATCGGTAACAACGTCTTCAGATGCAAACTTATTCCTTCGAACGTCTTGTAACTTGAAACTTCTACACGTCGCACTATTCAGTCTGTAAACGACTGATTAACTCGTCGACAAAGGATCAAAGGATGCCATGTATCATGGTTTGTACGATGAAAGAATCGTTTGCCGTCAGGATATCCTCTGATTTGAAAACACCGTCATGTCGCACTGTTCCCCGGATGTTCATCACTAGTGACGTCACGACCGTTGAAACACGCGAAACCGGAAGAGTTGCACTGGGCTTTGCGTTCACGGATACGTGTACGGGGAACGAAGGAAAGGTAGCGAAGGAGGATAAAGATTGGAAGAAGACGATGCAAAAATCACTGTTCCTTTGTGTTCACCAAAAGAAGGACCACGCACAAAATTGTCCCTCTCTTGAGGCGAGATCAGTTCCTTAGTAATAAAATAAGGACTACACCTCGAAACCGATGTCAGTCACTCGTTCGAGGCTCAAGCTCGAAAAATCACTAGCGAAATCTGAACTGTATCCACAGTCGTTTCTCTTTCCTCCGTTAAGAGGAAAAGGTAATTTACCAAACGACGAAACACTTTCCTCTTTTACCTAACGAATCCTTTTCGTGAGAAAGGTGGTTTGCAAGACTGGACAGAGATCACTAGACACTGCGGATCGGACTAGGCTGCGTACTAACGAGTCCTGGCAAAATCCCCTAGGCTCTTCTCACGATCACGAGTTTCTTTCGTTATACTTTCCGTTTCCCTTTTTTTTATCTTTTCTTTATCCTGTCTTTTTCTTTTCGGTATCAGACTTTCTTTCGTTTCTTTTACAACTCTTCTATTCGCCTTTATACTTCTCTCTATGTATACGTCTCCCTTTTCTTTTCCATTTGCCTTTCCAAGTGTCGACGTTAATGTTGTGTCGTGTAATCAAAAAGAGAAAAAAAGCTAACAATCAGATGAACAACCGACGTTCTGCACTTACGTTAGAGAGCCGTTCTGTCGGGGAAACGAGCGGGGGCTCCCAATATAAGCGCGTGCAACGTGATCCTAGAATATAACGAGCTCAGCGATTGGTCGCCGCTCTTGGCCAATCGGAGACCGCGTTAGTTCCTGGACCAATCTACCTTTTTAGGTGGAGATGATACCAAAAGTGTGACAAGGGGTGGCCACGGAAAGCTACAACCGCCTCGATCGGCCGAGTGAGATGAAAATAGATGTCGAACGGAGACAGGGAATTACCTTCAGCGGGCTCATTTTCTGGCATGTCCATTTTTTTCCTCTCCTCCTGTACTTCAACCCTATCTCGCTCTTTTTCCACCCCGTCCACCCTCATTCTCTCCTTTTCTCCGATATGCCCACGGATAACCAGCCATTTTAAATCGTCCACCCTTCATGCACAAACCGAGTGATTGTGGCTGTAGATACCGAGTTTTTGATATATATCAAGATCACTGGTACACGTGGAAGACGCACGTGCTCGATAATAGCTGCAGCAGACACATTTGACGAATAAATTATGTCGGCTCCTCTGCTGGCTGATAATCTTGAAAAGAAGTGACAAGTAAATGCGAATTTTCACCAACCTTTTATAATTTCTCTGCGTTTTTTTATATTTTCTACTGATATATTTGCAAGTTTGTCTTTTCACTTATTATGTAAGAAATGATGTACGGAACATTAGGAACTCGGTTTTAGAATGGTCAGGCGGTGGCAGATTTATATTTCACAATATTGTATTTTTCATCTTATTCGTGCTCTTAAGTTATTCTTCGTTAGCACTTTTCACTTTTCTTTCATCGAGATTCTTTCTCTGCTTCAAACGAATCACGCGTGTTAACAATTTACCGAATTATTGAAACGATTTAAAAAATTTCTAAATTACCACGTGCGAAAATAACTTTGGTTCCGACAGATCTGAAAAAATACAATTTGGTTATTATACTGTTTTTATTGCGATTGCAATCCTGCGAAATTAGAAAATTTATGGTAAACATTAATCGATTCTTATTGCACTATAAAATTGTAATTTTAGTTTCTTTGAACAATGCGAAATAAAACATTTCGTTATCTTATTTATTTGTATTGCTTTTATAATATCATGGATGTATGTTTGCAATACTAAATTTTAGTTTAAGTTTATTATTTTATAGTTATGGTCTCGTTAATCATATTATTTAATTACTTAATTACTCGATTATTATGTATCATTTGTTACTGTTATAACATTGATGTATGATATTAAATAATATTAAATTATTGCTAACGTTGTTATATTGATATTAATACTAATATTGCTAATTAAGATTAATGATAAAGTATTGATGATATTAAATATAATCTGTCAATTTAATTTCGATATTGCTATATATTCTCCAATGCTAATTTCATTAACAAAGTTAAATTTAAAATTATTTTTCATTCCCAAAGTTTTTTCGAAAAGTATACAGTTCCGTCGAAATTCGACAAATTACAACGAGAAATACCTCAACGATCTTACCAGGCGCAGAGGGAAGCTTGACCTAGAATCTGCAAATGGAAGCTGTTGTTCATTCGTCCGCTACTTTCCCGTCGGATAACATTGCGAGAACGCGCTTTTCCATCTATTCAAGAAAGAATAGTTTCACAATCTAACTTTCATAATTAAAAACCTTCTATAAAATTACAATCATGTTAATTTTCTTCCTCCTATTTATGAAAATTCTTAAAAATCGAAATATAAATCTCTTTTAAGCCGAATTATTTGTTTCATGTTTAGGTTATGTTACTTTACTTATCATCTGCCAATTAAAATTTAATAAAAATTAGTAAAAATTTAAGAATTAAAGTAATTATCCGTAAAAGCTTTGTAAATGATTATTTAGTACCGTTTCTTCTATTTTCCTTCAAAATTCTAATTTTTAGACGAAGAAATTGTAAAAAGTTTCTAAATTTTCAAAAGTTTCAAAATTTCTGTGTGAGATGAAATTTGAAAATGTTATATCATATATAGAACTAAAGAAAAGCTGTATTTTCATTATATATGACAATACTAAATAAACCAAGGAGTAACATAACCTTACAAACGAAAGAAAATTTTGACGAATAATCACTGCTTGAATTAAGTTTTATCGTATTGTAACATAGGAAGCATAATTTCCAAAGATTTTATATAATGTGACGACAAGGTTCTTTTTACTGGATCATTAATTAATTCGAAGACTATTGGGAGCCAAGATGGTGTCATAGATGGCGACATATGTATTATAATTGTTGGGAACCAGCATAACTAGGAGCTCTTTGTAATTCAACCAGTACCTCTAAGCAAACCAGAGATTTTTATAGGAAAATATAAAAATATTGGATGAAATAGAAATATTTTTGCATTGTTCATAGTTGAAAATATTATTGTCTAACACATGTTAAGATAAAGTAAACTTATAAGCATTTTAACAATTACAAGCAATAACAGCCTAAATTATGTGTAGATTGTGTAATTAAAATTTAGAATTAATGTAATTTGCATTAAATAATTAAACTTATTTTCTTGGAATTTTTAGAAGAATATTAACATATTTATTATGAATTTTCATTTATTAAACTCTTTCTACTTGAAAATTTTTATAAGACAAAATCTTTGCAATTCGAAAATTTTAGTTCTTCCCTTGAAATTCAAGTTTCAACAAAGATTTGACTGCATTAATCTTTTATCTACCTAATTACATTGTGCAAGAACTAATCATACGTTCCAGTACATTTTATTGACTTATTGTAATTAATATTACCAATTTATTATACGCGTCTGAACAAAATAAAGAGAAATAATACAAATACTCTTGTACAATATGTTAGTTAAATTGTAAAAGGTTGGTATGAAAAATAGGATTAAGTTCAAGAAATGAACAAAAATATATTATTTTCTTTTCATAATTGACAACGATATATTCATTAAAACAATCAATGTTTGAATTAGATTAATCAAAATTATTACATATTAATATCATATAATAATTTTTTCCTGACGTAACGTAATAATATTAATTTCTGTAATGATATAATGATATAGTTGTATTCGTTAGTCTGTGTGCGATATCTATCATTTTATTAGTTTCTTCTTAAAAATACTTCGTAATGCAAAGTATTAACATTAAATAATTACACTATACGAATTATTTATTTTAATTAATTATTATATTAAATATAATATGACCTAGAAGTAAATTTAAGATTTCAATATTTAAAAATTTCATGCAAATCTAGAGCACGTACAAATGCTTGCTCGAATGAAAAATATCAGATGAATGTGTCTGTAAAATTACTATTGAAAATTTTCATTACATGCAAAATAGATAATTTAGAAATATATTTGACTGAAAGTAGTAAGCTACGTTTTAAAGTAAGTAATATTGTACATTAAATTGAGATTTTTCCAGTTTTTAAGATCATTAAAAATAAAGAAATTGTTTAATTTTGAAATTGTAATTTAGAAATAATAATGGATAAAATAACATATATTATGCGTGAAATATACATCTAATCATACGAAAGAATTGTTCAATAGTTTACAGGATTTTTTCTTTAATTTAATTAAATCATTGGAATAATCCTATTTTGAAAGAGACATGTAGTTATAAAATTGATGATGATCAGTTAGTGTATAAGTTCACTATAATTTGCAGTTTCAGTAATAAGTCCCATATCTTGTCTACTATTTTATTCATTTATTGCATGTATATTCGTCAGAGTATATTTTCTATTACTCTACTACTCTACTACTGTACTATTATATTAGGTATAGTACATAGTGTCTTCTTCCTTATCTTCGTTATTAGAATATCCCGATTTTGAAGGGTTTTATTATCCGATTATGCGAAAAGAACGAATCCTAACAATAAATAATTTATCGTGATATAAATAAATGATATTTTATTCCTGCAAATATAATAACAATTTATACAAATACTTTAATCGAAATATAAAAATATTCTTTCAAACGTAAAATTGATTTTGAAAAATGTTCCTGTAGAATTTTGTAAAATTACGGAAATATTTAAATACAAATATTTAAATACAAAAGTATTTTTTTAAATAATTCACAGAAGTATTTTAATTTTAGTTATACAATTATCCTTCCAAATACAAAGATATTTTTCTAATAATTATAACAATAGGAAATAAATATTCAAAAGTAAAATTAATTGTCTGTTCAAGCTATTAAAGTGGAATTTAATATATTTCCATAAGTAAAAGTCTATTAGCAATTGTGTCACTATAATTTGTAATAATAAATTGATTTATACACTAGCGTTTCGGTATTAACAGAATTGCAAAAATGTACAGATATCGATATAACATCGTAATATAGTTGGTTCATTCGACAAGTAAATATTTGAAATAATATTACTATAAAATAATTTAAATTTAAATTAAATTTAAATTAAATTAGAATTTTTTATGCCATTCGATGCATTAGGACAATGAGTACGGAAAGTAATATATAAAAATTTTTTGGAATTTTTCCAAAATGATAGAGCCAGTACTCGATAGGTGACAAGTGGTATTCGAGCATATTAAATTCATTAGAGTGGCGAATATCTATCATCGAACGTTGGCAAACATGTACATGTATAGACGCTGAGAATGTTCAGTGGCTTGCTACCAGAAATATTTGGCAATCTTTCGTAATTGGCGTTTCATTATAACTTACCATTTCAGTGAATGGTATACTACCAAGCTGTACTTACAATTAGGTACATTTTCGTCATTCTAACTTCACGCGAATATTATA